AACAATAAATTATTACAAAAAAAAGGAGCCTTCTGGAACACCCAAGGCATATACTGGTTGAAAAGGTGGTGGAGCTAAGATACAAGTTTTGTATAGAAACTTGTCTAGTTTGTTTATACATACACCCATGTATCTCCCGTAGTATCATATGATATATGTCTGCAAGGATATTCAATATTCGACGTCTTTTTTTACGCTCTTTCTTGTTCTATTGTATTGAATTTTTGTTTATTTAAATGAACCAACTGTGCAGTTGGAAAGTTGTTTTTGCTGTTTGTTGTACGCTTAACGTGAGTTCAATTTTCGAGCGCTGCCAATTAAAAAAGTTTTTACCCAGCCGCGATTGGCGCTGCAACTGGAGCCCGAAAGTAGACTTTACTTTTATTGTATTTCACGAAAAAATCCATTTGGGCCACGCATCATTGCATCGTGCCTCGTCGATTATTTATCACGCATTCCTGCACGTATGTATACCTAAAAATATATTTAATAAATTTAAATGCTCAATTTTATTTTCATACTGTGTTGCATGAATGCAAAAAGCCTTAATTGAATTCCAAGTATTATGTGTGTTGTGCGTTAAGATTCCAGCGTTTAAATATTTGTAATACTATTGCATACTGCTAATTGCGGTCTAAATTGACATTAGACATATGCCTGCATAAAGGGGTATTCGTGCATACATGTCCTGTGCTCAGTGGCTCCCACGGAAAACGCGCTCCAGCGTAAACACTTCAAAGATATTCTCCGACGGGTACTCTGTACATTGCAGAGCCTGACGCTGTGCCATACTTCCTTAGTGACATAATTATCATGTTTACATCCCTTTGTATGTCTGCAAGGGGTATACATCACGAAAAAGCAATGTAGATTATAATTAGAATTATTTAAATTAGTTTTCTGCTTTACTATCTATATCTATTGGAAATTAATCTGTACTATTTGGACCCTATTAAAAGTTAAAGCTAAAAGCTAATGTATATAACTAATGATTCGAGGTCAATGTAAAAGAATTTCAAAAACTGTAACACCCACATCATAGGGTATTTATCTAGTCTATACTAAATTCAAGTTAATGTAACCAGGGCCGGAATAATAAGACAACAACAACAACAGCAAATGTAAGAGCGTCTCTTTTAGAAAGCAGGCCGCTTTGGCAGCCACAATTTTGATTTAATTGTTGGCATGGTGACATGTTCTTTTAATTTATGCCAATTTATTTAATCATGCACTTGCTGCCTTTGTGGCCCACAGGAGGACAGGGACTCGTATTAGGTTATAAGCAGAAAGCTTGCCAAGCTAGAAGACGAGCTGCTCCGTGGCATTTGTAATTAAAAAGCACTCATGTTGGCCAGATAATTTGAAAAGTAAGTAAGTTAATGTAAGACAGCGCTTTGACGCTACTCTGACGCTGCTCACGTCCCAGGCACATCATAAAAAAGCCAAAAGCGAGCGCGATAAAAATACATTTATCAATCAAAACTTCAATGGGGAACTTTTGCGTAAGTTGCAGCATAAAAATATTCATTTTATAGGACAGAGCGGGCATCCGAGCTAGGGGCGGAATGGGGCAGCTGCTGTTGAAGCAACCATTTAATAGCTTTCATTTTGCCAAAGCAATTCTCAAAATCTCGCGGACGCAGGACCACGACGGCAGGACGTGCACGAAATGCGCAAATTCACGCACGTCACTTGAACTTGCACAGCAGCCCGGCGCGACGGCAGGGAATACGGGTCGAGTGGCGCAATGTGGCTGGCGGGGATTGGGCTGCGTGGCTAAGGCTAATTTGTGAAATGTGTTTTGCTCCTTATTATTGTTGCTGCTGCTGTTGCATCATTCATTTCATTAACAAGCCATCAGCACAGCCCAGCAGTTCCCTGGCAAGAGCTTTAAATTCTTATAAGAAGACCAAACACAAAGCTCGCCGATGAAAACTTTTTCAATATATATTTAAGCGCATTTTATGTTTTTCAATCTTACTCGTAGATTCTCATTGTGATATTTGCTTTGAGCTGGCGTTGCAAATCGCTTGAGCTGTTTACTTGTATTCACAGCATTCTATTTGCTATTGAGAGTCTCACGCATCAGCCGTTTATTTTGCATATGCTCAGCCAGCGAAACCCTAGAAGAAAAAAAAGTATATTGCGAATTTATGAGAAGCTGCTGAGTAAAGCTATTCTAGCAAATATCTTGGGCAAAAACGCGAACAACTTACTCGGTTTATAATCAATTGCAGATCGTGCACATTTAAAAACAAATTCTTAAAGCCTTCCCCCTAGAAAACATAAATGTTGGTCTCGTTTTTGTTTGGTTTTGTGTTGCAGCTATAAGGTATTTTTTGGTACAGGCCAACACGATTTTAATCTCTTAATGCAAACGAGCAATGAAAATCAACTTGGCAGTTTTTTTACACTTGTACTCATTAAAACTGGGAAAAAAGCAAGCAGCACTGTATGAAATGCATGTGGGATGATCCACAGCAAACAATATTGCTTAAAAAAACAATATCTGTCCTTATTCTGAAGTCAACTTCTTCGAGGACAGCATTTATATAAGTACTTACTCAAGACCTCATTGGAGGGTATCTGCAAGTCGAAAAGTAGATTTCTCAGAGATCGGGAACATATAAAAATAATACGGATTTATAAGTATTTATGGGATTTTATCGGAAGGCTTACACATTTTAAGCATTCAATTCGCAGTTTGTGCAAATATTTGCGCTGCTATTGACCTGCTGTTGAGCAGCTGTCGGTCTGTCTGCCTGTCTGGCAGTCCGTCAAGGGGGCTTGACAGGCGGCGCCTTAATTTAATGCGCTTTACTTGACCATTTTTTTTTATTTTGCGACTTTGTATAACTTTGTAATTAAATGCAAATTAAGTGAACCGTATTTTGCGCCTTGATTTTTTAACCCTTTTTTTTGCTGACAATTTTAAACTTGCTGGCAAACTCATTGGTAAAACTCTCAATAATGCTGGGACTCTATTAACGCCAATGTTGCGTTAATAGACGCTACGGAGCTCGATGTATAATGGGGAGTAAGGGGTAGCGCTCACTCGCGTAATCCGGGAATGAGGCAACTTTTCTAATTAGGATCCGCCGAAGAGCGGCTAAGGAGTAGCGGCAAACATTTACATTTGCTGAGAATTCATTTTGGCGCTAGAGCCAGACCAGAGCCTGTTGCTGGTTTTTATGCATACAAAATTCCGTAGTCGTATAATGAGCTGCTAAGCAAAGCGTTGCCAAGGAACGCAAATCAGCACAAATCAAATATGCAATCTTTTCGCAATTGCAATTGGAAGTGCAACGCAATCAAAAAGTAGCAAGAACTTCTTCCAAAGCATTAGAAATGCCAACAAAACAAAACTAACTGAAACTTTTGGTGCAAAAACCAAAAACACGCGGCAATCGACAATGTCGATTATATAGTATAAATGTCTGTATACACTCGTATGTCTAAGTTTTAGGGTTTGGGTTGGTTCTCTAGCAACTGGCAACTGACAATTGGCGACGGGGAAACTTAGCCAACTGCCTGAATTGGAAAAGTGGGAAAAGTGGGAGTTACAGCTGTTGAAAGTTAAACCGTAAGCATCAAAAGCGCCAGCTCGTAATTACAGACTGCAAAACGAAACGAATCGAAAAGTAAACGACGCGACTTCGAATGGAAATCTCAATTGAATGTAGGCGCGGGGGCAACGGCAGCGGGAAATCACACTAAAAACACGCAAACCTGGCAAAACTTCAAGCCGCTGACTGAGCCGTCGCAGTCACGAACAAAACTAAGGTAGGCGCCAGCTGAAGCCAGGTGCTCGAAAAAAAGGGTAAACTTTGCCAAGCCTTGAAAAGGCATCTTAAGCGATTTTCCGCGACGTTGCGCTGCACAACAATATGACGGCGATATCTTAGAATGTGGCGGCGGGTGCTAGTCGTATGAGCGATCTGCTGGCTTGGGCTTGGCCCGAGTAAATTTACGGCAAACGAAAATTAAGAAAGTTGCAGCCACCTCTGCAGGCACAGGCTGTTGGTAAGGGTGCCAAACTTGGTAACCGTTTGCAGCGCGTATAGGCTTATTTATGATGAACAGCTAAGGCCCGTGTGTGTCGCCCCAGCTTGATAAATGTGCAATGTTGCGCCACGGCGTGGCAGGAAATGGATTTTGAGTCGTGTCTTGAGTTATGCGACTGGCGCTAATCGAAGCGTGGAGTGCCACAACAACAACAGCAACACGAGCAATTACAATTGCAACTGCTATGGCAACTGCAATTGCAACTCCGACAGCAGCTACGCTTTCAATTATAGCTTCGAGTTGCGTTTAAGCATTCGTTAGCTCAAGCTGGTCAGCCGAATGGCAGCAAAGAGCGTGCAAAGTCAAGTGTGGGCCACGGCAGAATCCTGTGCAGAGCCAGCTACAACGCCTTGGGGCAAGACAAATGCTTACAAATGTTGCCAACGCTTCTCTCAGCCAAGTATTTTCTGGATGTACGCTCTTGTCTGGCATCTGGGAAATAAATGAGTCAGCATTTGTTAGCCGGACGGCAGCGTTGATTGAATTGTTATTGTTATTGCCTGGGAGTTGCCTTAAAGTTGGCTTAAGCAGCTCAAGAGGACTCTCTACCTGTGTATACATACCCAAGCTACCCAAACCCAAGCACACACTCACGCACGCACATACATGCATTAATATATACATATGTATATTCAGAGGCACTGGCACTTTTCAATTAAAACAATTGTCAACGACAATAAGTTATACAAGTTAGCAGCTAGCTGCTCTGTCCGTGCCCCTGGCCCTAATCCACTCCCCGCTTTCATTTCTGCCGCTGTCTTTGGCTCAGTCGTAGCCGGGGTCGTGGCTCGTGATGTTGCTGACAGTCGCACGTACGCTTAATTAGAAAAAGTTGCAGCGTCCACCTCGACGCTTTGGGGCATGCCCACGCCTACATCTACATCCACGCCCAAACCAGCAGCTGTCAGCGTTCGCCCACATTTTTGCAGCGGAAGTAAATTTACACTTCAGTTTTTATTATTTTCCGACGAGCGCGCAAAAGCGCGACTAATTTTCTTGAGCGCCTGCCCAGGCTTCCCACTTCCCATTTCAATCCCATGCTTCCTTTAGAAAATCACAATATTGTACCGAAGTTTGTATACCCTAACTTCATAACCTAATTGCATGAACCTGATTTCAAAGGGGTTTCCTTTGAAGACTTCTTCCTCTAGACATAGTAGATAGTCAGCCCCCTCAAACGCTTGTATAAAATTACATGGCCTGGCTGTACATTATGTTCCATGGCAGAGTAGTCAACTGCCTGTTAGCTCCTGTGAGCTGGCTAACAAATGGAAAATGAGCCGCCTGCGTCTTGCGACTAGCGCATAATTTTCTAAAAAAAAAAGAAGAAATTTCCCCTTAGAAACTGAATGGGAGAGGACTGCAGTGCAGTTGGTTACTTGGCTTTTGTTTGCTTTTGGCTTGTGTGTCTCGTTGCTGGCCTTTGTGCTAGCTGCTCCCTCTGTTGGTCCTCTGCTGATCCGGTTGTTGTCAGTTAGCTGGCTGGCTGGCAGATTTTTTTCACTTTGTGCCTTTTGGCTTGGCCAGCCCAAACCTTGGCTAGTAATCCACCTGACCGTCGCGATGCCTTGCCGGATGTCACGTGCGCATCATTTTCCAGCACTTTTACTGCCCCTCACTGCACACACTGTAATTATAACGGCGTTGCTTAAATTAGTTGCCACGGACATGCCACCAGTCAGCAGTCATGCAGCCCAGCTCTGACCTGCGGACCTGTCCTGGCAGAGAGCATGAACCAACATTCATACAACCAGTGTGCTGGTTCCGTTTCTGTATGCTGGGCCTCCATTAAACACGCTCGCATGTGATTTTTATAGGCGGCTCCATTGTTGACGTTGTTTGTTGTGGCTGCTCTGCTCCTGTTTCGGTCTTTTTTTTTTTTTTTGATCTCTGCTTTTCCGTCAACGTCATCGTGATTAGTTGGGCCATTTTATGACTGCTTTGTTTTAGTCTCTGGGTCTGCTGCATTGTCAAATCCATTTGGGTTTTGAGCACACGGGCCAAACGATAAAAATACATATTCATATACTATGTGGAGATGTATGTGCAAAAAGGGCGTGACTGCAGCTAATACCAATTAACAATCCCATAAACCTGACACACAAACTCGACCTAAAAAGAAGGTGCTTGACTCGCTTGCACTTACATCATTAACGGCATCATTTACACAGAGCATCCCCCGCGCAGCCGCAGCCCGAGCAGCCGCTAGTTGACGCTTTAGAAGACTTTAAGTTGCAACTAATGAGACTCCGAAACATAATTGTTGGCATTTAGTTAGACGAGAACGAGCGGCGCCACGTTGACGGGCAAAGCACTCACACCTACGCGCACACACTGACAAAGTTTAGCTAAAACTGACACGGTATGAAAAAGAAGCATCACAAACATCAGAGGCAGCAACAATAACAACAACAACAACAACAACACGGGGAATATGGCAAAGCACAACGAAAACAAATGCACCTAATGACACAATTTCACACACCCACACAATCAAATGCTCAAACACACACATAACCACACGCACAAACACACACACACACACACTCACACCCACACCAGGATATCAGAAAAATGGAGCACTGCATGTCGAGAAACTGTTATACAATACAAAAGAGCGCCCCCCACACGGCAAAAGCCATTTCTCTTCTTCTAATTCTCTCTTTCCGCTCAAGAGCCGCATCCTGATGCTCTCTCGTTTTTCGAATTTCGCAAGCGAACGCTGGCAATTAAAGGCGAATTCAGAGCAAGTCATTCGGCTGCCATTTCGCCGCATCGGCTTTGCAACGACGGCGCTTTGCCAGTTGCCAGCAGCCAACAAAGTGGAGCAGTTCGGGCCAGTTTCTGGTGTGCAGTTAGCCGGCTCAGCAGCCAAGTCCGAGTGCCAAATGACGCGATGCTACATGATAATTGTCCAGTGATAGCCGGCATTGTGGCTCGCCTAACTGTTATGTGTGTGTGTGAGTGTGTGTAAGTGCTGTGTACGTCTGTTAGGCGAGTGCACCACATGAACTGAACGTAGCTCAAGAAGGAAGTTCACCAACATTTCTGGTATGTTGCATATTTATTTTATTTTGCTTTAACTTGAGCGCAACAGCAGCAGCAGCAGTTGCATTTGCAGCTGCCGGCAGCAAAAGTAACGCCGTCAAGTTTCAAGTTGCAACTTGTAACCTAGTTTTTTGGGTACTCGTGCCTTGCCACAACTTGCATGTATCAGTGTGCGTGTGTGTGAGTGTGTACTGGCTTGTCCGATTCGGGTGTTGGTGTGTGTATATGGCTTGGCGCGCATTGCTTGCACTTTACTCGAGCTGCTTTTTCCCTTTTTTACTTGCATTTTATGGAATTTCGCCGTGTACATATTATTCATGCCACTATCCAAAAAAAGAAAAAAAAAATAATAATAAAAAGAAAGGAAACAGCAGTGGCAGCAGCAGCAGCAGTGGCAGTGGCAGTAACAACAGTGAAAAGTGCAATGGCAGCCAAGCTCCGGCGCAGGCAGCCGTGATTTGTATGAATGCTGCCATTAAGCTGACGACGACAGAACGGCGGGGTGGAGGGCGTAATATAAGAATTGCTTACCTTAACTTACCGTGCGTTCCTTTCGTTACGTGCCAGTTGCCCATTTTCTACACGTTTCTAATGGCATCGGGTCGTATGCGTAACACGAGAGTCTCGCCTGGCTGTTGCCAAATTATATACACACACATATAACATATATACCTATACATACATATGTCCGTCTGTTTTCCAGCATATTAAGGCTAACAAAAATGACACGATAAAGTTGGCCAAAAAAAAAGAAGAAAACTTTGCGCTAACAAATTCAATTGCCTTGAGTTTTATTTAAAAACAAATGGTGGCAGATTTTTTAAATGACAAGAATTAAGATAACAAATTCGCAGAACAGCACAAAGAAGAAGAACGTTGAAACGTTGGCAAACGGGGAAAGAAAATAAAGCAGCGTCAAGAAAATGGCTGGCAAAACTTTTGTACCGGCAAATAAAACAAAAGCCCGTCAAAGCCCGCGCGCAAAATTGTTACAGCGTACAAATAGAAAAGCCCAGCCATGCAACAGCAACAACAACAACAATAACAACAACAGCGGCAAGCTATGAAATACTTAAGCCAAAGTCGCGACACAGTCAAAGGCAAGAAGCCACATGGCTCAGCCGGATGTGCGAGGCGCCCTTTAGGAGTCGGCGTAGGGAGCTTTGCTTTTGCCCGCCCGACCCAGCAAAAAGTCTAATAAATTAAGCAATTTACATGAATTGTCGTTTGCTTTGCGCCTCCCCCACCCCAGACAACTCATTTGTATTTGGCAACAAGCAGGAGGCGTGGCCGTCGAGGGATTTGTAAAAAAAAAACAGAAAAAAGTTTGTCGCTCGTTGACAATAATTCAAGACTCGGCAAGAGCTCCCCGCTCGACAGCAGCAGCAGCAGCAGTAGCAGCAGAAGGCCGCAAGGTAGAGGGCCCTGCAATTTGTTTAATTTTATTAAATGTATCTCACTGCTGCTGTTGTCGCTGCCGCTGCTGCTCCTTGATGAGGATGTTTTTGCTGTAATTGTTGTTGCTGTTGCTGTTGTTGTTGCCATTGTTTTGCAGTTTCTGTATTTGGTTATCTGTGCGCATTTGCAAGTTTTTTATTTTTGCAGTTAAATCTTAGAAATTTATGTGCATATTTTTGCCATTTGACTTTCAGCTGTGTTTGTGCATACACATAGATACACATACTCCAGCTACTATATGTATCTGCTCAAATAAATGCCAGCTAAATGCCTGCGGGCAACTGCTGCTATTGTGGGCGTTGCTGCCGCTGCTGCTGCCGCTGCTGCTGCTGCCGCTGCTGCTGCCACTGCTGCTGCTGCATCAAGTTTCGGCGCGCTCACAGATAAGCAACAGTTAAAAGTTTTTTGCTGTCAAAACTTTTTGGCTTAGAGCTGATTCTTTCCTGTAGTTCTTGTTGCCCCTGTTGTTGTTGTTATTTTTGTTGTTGTTAGCGTCAACACGTGGCACTCGGAGCTAATCAAACTATTGATTGTTTGGCTGATTGTGGCAGCGGATTTGACTTTGACTGCGATCGTTTTTATTGCCAACGAAGCAGTGACAGGTGAAAGTTGTGGCCAACTTTCAAGTTTCTTCGCCCAGCCTGACTTTCACTTTGGCAAACTAATACCAAAAGTTTTCGCTTTTCATTTGCTCTAGCAGGAAATTGATTTTTGATGTGTTGCTCTACCTTTCCCTGCTTAGCTCTCTTTGCCTGAGCTTTGAACCCTTCAAAACTTAACTTTGTCAATTTTGTTCAGTTGCTTTCACCTTGGCTCTTGCTCTTGGCCTTGCTGAAAGCGTATCATCATCTTGTTGCTAGGTGCTAACCTCTTTGACATGCAAACAATTTTTTTCTGAGCTCGCTTTTGACACTTGTCGCAAGCTGTTTATTGATTTTGCATAAACAGGTAAACGGCGAACCGCAAAAAAATGTGGGTGTGCGGGAAAATTGAAACTCAAAGACAACACTGCTAGCGATTACTTTGCATATGTTACATAAAGTATGCGCATCATCGCAGAAGAATTTGAAGCATTTGCTATTTTTAAACAACTTGCTCCAGAGATCTAACTCGTGGCTTTGACCAGTCGAGTTGTTTTGTCAACAAACTAAATGTGGTCTACGACCTTACCTTGTAATACCCAAACAAAAGCTGTGCTGAGAAGAACTCCATGCAAACATGCACGTAAACACACTCAACTTGCTGCAGCAGACCCGAGGGCCATCTGCAAATGTTTAGAAAAGCAGTTTGCGGTGCACAAAGTTTCACTTGACACAAAATACTTAAAATGCAGCCCCTAAAATTTGCTCGTACGCTCCTCGGTGGCACCTTTAGCCAAAATAAAAAAATGTGTATAGAAAAAAATTGGTCCGAAAACTGTGTGATGCATAATTATTTTTACTAAACGCGCACATTTTTGTCACTTGCCAAGGGTAAAATGCCATTTTTGCGCTTATTTAAGCCATTGCATAAATTTCAACATAAAATGAATACCAACACACACGCAACCGCTCACACGTCATAATACAACGCACACACATATGCAAATTTACTGGCAAACGGGTGCTAAGGGCCAAGGCATGCAATTGCAGGAGCCCGCAGCAGGTCCAGCGCCATAGCATCGTAATGTTGGTGGCCTCCTTACGAAGAGGCAGACGTGCTTCAGATGTTTAGCACATACACATACACACACACACACACACACACACACACATACACGCGCGCCCACGCACCCACTCACACATGCGCTCACATTGAAGCTCGCTTCAATGTCAAAGTTTCGCCAGGAATGTGTGGAAAATTATTTTGCGATATAACGCGCGAATGAAAAATGTATAAAATATTCAAAGAAGCATTTTACATTTCAGCGACAGGACGAAGAGCACTCCTGAAATTACAGGCACCCGAAAACTGGTTGGGCAAAATAAAATATTCAAAATTTGGAAACAATTCATGTGAATGCAAAACTCGTTGGCAATTTATGAAATGAAGGAGATTCGAAGTGAAAATGAGCGCGGAGTTAGCCAATTTGTAAATTTCGAGTCTTTAAACTTAAGCGATAACGACAGCGACGTTTCAGTCGTGAGGCTGGCAGCCATTGCACACATTAATAAAAAATAAATAAAACATAAAAAAGGAAAAGCCAAAAACTGATTTAAGTTTTAAGCGTTTGACGCTTTACAACCACAATGTCGACACAAAGTTTCACATACAAACCCCAGCAAAAACAGGAGGGAACAGCAATTTCATTGCCATGTTAACCCAAGTCATAAAGTCAAGGATGAAATGCAAAGTGCCGAAGTTTTAATTTAAATTTGCCAAGCTCCGCACTAAAAGTAACGAAGGCATTCACAAAAAAAAAGTAACAAAGTCCAAATAACCTAACTAAAGAAAAGCCATGCGCTTAAAAAACCACAAAATAAGCTGAAACAACAAAATCTACAAAAGCACACCACAAGTAGGGAAGCTGCAATTTTCAAACACCCTGCCCAGCTTAAAAATAATATATTTAAGTATGCAGTATTTTAGCTAAACAAAAGCTGAATTTTGATAAAATGTTACTATCTCAATATTCCACTATCCCACCGACACAAAACTTATCTTTCCTATAACAGGTTGCTTGAAAAAATTCTTCTATGTAAGGTAACATTTTCATCGGTTGGCTAATAGTATGGCAAACCGACAAGAAAACTTCCGCGAACCGCTAACAATAACCCAACCTTACTCTCAATGGATCCAATAACTCAACTAAGTCTCAAAAGAAGAACATGATATAGAGCTTGCACACACTGCTTGGATTCGGAAACAGAAAAAACGCCGAGAATTACGATGCCTTTGAGTAACACACTCTCAGAGGTTCCTGAAAAACCGCGGCTGTTATCTGCATAACTCATACGCACAGTGTGTCCGCGTTAGTGGTCGCCAAGCGGCAGCATTTTTGCATTGCCCCAGCACCCCCCCGACTGCAGCCAGATGCTTTATCCTAGCTGGGAACGCACAACGTGGAATTGATCCAAGAGCTGCAAAAATTTGCAACACATAGCGTATGCTCTCACACACTCGCACACATACATACATGGGTACCAGCTTGCACGTTAATACACCCGCAACTCGGGCTTGTTGCACTTTCAGCTTACTTCAATCTGACCAGGGTTTTTTACTTGGTCCTCTTCGCCAAAGGAAGCTCTCTGTATTTGGGCTTATTGACTTTTTTCGCTGAACTATGTGAAAAGCGTTGGCTTAAAGTTTGCCTAAGGTGTTATCGTAAATATTTTGAATTTGTTCATTAAAGTCTAACAAAATGTTGTTCTAACAAAATGTTGTAACAAAATGTTGGTTTATAATGCTAGATGTGAGGGAGGCCGTCTATCGATTGGCATTAGCTTTGTATTATATTTCCTGTAAGACTTTACTTTAAAAAAACAAAAGTATTCAAGACACACTCTTGGTTTTTTCTTTCGACTTTTCCAATGCGCTTTTCGCTTTGTAGATCCAAGTCATTTGGCGTTCTTCTGTTGTTTCAGTTTCGCAGCATCAACATGACTGCTTGGTCGCTAAAATGAATGTCTGGAATGAATGACTGACTGGTGACAGAATGCCTAACTGACGGGCAACACGGAACGAACTGTTGTGGAGCCTGAAGTTCTTTGACTAATGAGGACGCATTGGATATATACGCAGTGCGCGTCGCATGTCAATAAGCCACAGCAGCTACAGTAACAGCAGCAGGAGTAGCAACAACAAAAAGAAAACCCTAGGCGAGTATGTTCCAATCGGAGATAGCTAAGGATGTCTAACACACATTCAACCTCATGAATATGTATGTGTATTAAGCTGCAGAAAGAAACTCGGCTCCGAGCTACAGAAAAAAGAATGCTTTGACGCAGGAATTTAATTGTCGGATTCTAGGATTGAAACTGATCAGGAAAACATAATTTATAGGAAGATATCAACGTGGTACCCAGATTTCTTCGAGTTATCTTTAAAGAGTGTACAGGGTATAATACCAAAACAACGGCAAAGCAAAGTTACGGCACATATAGCACAAAAGAAAAAAGTGCTAACAGGGGGAATGTGTGACAAAAGGCGGATCCCCAATAAAATGAGGACGTGCCGCTGATAGCAGGTAAATCCAAGCCTGCATACTTTGGGGAATGGTGACATATTGGATACGCTGCTCCTGCCCTGTCTGGCGCAATATACACAGGGGAGCCGTAAAGTATTTGTTAGTGGAGCAACTTAAGAAGTAGGCAAAAAAGTTGCCAAAGTCACAAATCATTCAATTTGCCATTCAGCCTGGAGAAACTTGAGAAAATGTTGTGTGAAGTTGCTCGAAAAGAAAAAAGAAGTTGCTGTTCCAACTGTCAAACTATGCTATACTAAACTATACTAGACTACGTAAATGTCATCCAATTTGCATTCATATAATTTGTGACAGTAGAGCAGCAAATGCTCTGCTGCTAATTACAGTCATCTCTCCTTATTTTCTTCTTCTCCAGCACTCAGATACAATGACAGATGAGACACACATGGAATTAAAAGTGAGGGAACATAAAAAAAAGAGACAATAAAGAAAGCAAGGCTTTGGCATTCACTGGGACTGAGTGGCAAATGAAACTTTCACAAATGATTGAGTCAATGATGGTGCCATTAAAAGTCGCAAATTGTTGTTTTTGTTTCAATAACGTGTATGTGTGTGGGTTTGTGTTTCTGCGTGTATTTGTGTGCGTGTGTTTGTGTGTGCCAATTATAAATGTTAGACTCGGTATTTGACATTCTAGAAACGGAAACACGCCAAGAGATTTATTTTTGATATTTCCGCTTTAGTGCGGTAACAGCAACAACAAAAACAGCAACAACAACAGCATCAACAACAAAAACAGCAACAACAACAGCATCAACAACAACAACAAGCAGCTCAACAACATGAGCAACAATATGAGAGAACAGCGAATGCTCTGAAACTTTTTCGATAAAAATGTAAATTTATTGGGTATGTGTAACAAACAAGCTGAAGCTTATGCATGTGTGCACACTGGTACATGTGTGTGTGTCTGTGTGTGTGTGTGTGTGTGTGCGTGTATGATGAGCAAACGAATGACAATAACGTTGATGACGCTGACGTACATGTGGTGGGAGCGTGGAAAAGATGTCGGTGGGTTTTCTGGCCATGGACGACTGGGTGATGATCTCTGCCCATCATGCACGACTGGCTGAATCATATTTTTATGATTTTTTATTGACGCATTTTGATATGCCAGTTAACAATTCATTCATTGACTTCGATGTTATTTGTGTATGATTATTGTTTATATTGTAAGTTCGGGATCGCATGCGTGCAGACTTTTTAGTAGTTGATGCTTGTTTTCGCTTATTGTACGCAACTTATCTGTTTTATGTTGCGCTACAAATTATTCACAAAAACTTTGGTTATAACGTACAAAATTTATCACATAAAATCAAGAAATAAACATGTTGGACCCCGGACACACCAATAGAATTAGTCGTAGGCACAAGTGAAATAAAAACTTTCTTTTACAACTGAGTTAAGTAAGGACCAAGACTATGAAATCACGTTAACCGCCGAGCTTAATGTTGAGTACTTCATGTAAAAATTTCAATAAGGTCAAAGCTATATTAATTTTATTTTTCCAAATTTATTTTTGATTAATTTTTTTTTTAAACAAGTCAAAACCAAATTTGTTGGTCACTTTCCTATATTTACATCATCCAGAGTATTTGTTTCCCTCTCAGTGCTCGGCCAGTCAAAAGTGAGTTTTTCAATAATAAATAAAGCTATTTGTAATACTACGTGAAAGTGGAGGACCCGCCGCAGATTCCACTTCACTTCGATCCACTTCTTGCGTGTGTTTAATAAAATAATTAACGCTTTAATCGAGTAAACAAACAATTGAACAAACAAACAGCACGACGCTTCGCGGTAAATGAAATACTATATATCAATTTTTCATGGAGCTGTTGTCAGATGCTGTGAACTGCGCTTGGACTATAAATTAATCAATGAATTGCATTTAAAAGTAATAAATTTTTGAAGCAGGCGCTTAAACTGATAAGCACACAAAATTAATAATGCACACAATCAGCGGTAATCGCAGTGAAATGCAAACAATAAACAATGGATATTAAAAAAAAAAAAAATCAAAAAAGAAGGGCGATGCAAGCAAAGAAGAAGAAAAAAAGGATGTTACCCAATTTTACAAACATCTCAATTCGCAGGCAGAGGACACAACGGACAAAGGATGACAAAGACGACAGAGTGCTATTATGTTGAAATTATGCGTTACAAAGTCAGAAGCAAACAGTTGGACAATGAAGGGACAGCACATATCCCTTACCATATCTGCTTAAGATGCAGCCAGAGGAGTCTTTTAAGTGTGATGCGAGGGTAAAACATATTTTTAAATCAAAGTGAAAGAAAGCAAACCGCTATTAGGCCACATCAAGCAGGGCGGCAGGCCGTTGGCGGCGGTTAAATCCAAAAAGGTTACAAATAGCCAACATAAAAAAGTTTATTGGTGCAAAGGATTGAAAACAACGGCCGGTCCGGCGACAGGACACGCACAAGGACGCACAAGAACGGCCAGAACGTACCGTGCATGCCAAATCGCTGCCTTAGTATGCCTTGCCCCAATAATATGCTCAATGGTTGCCAGAGTCGTATTTATTGTTGTTTATGTGCCCCGGATCTGAATGCCAGCCCAGTCGAAACTGTCATTGTCCGAAATGAAACCCGCAAACGCCTTTGATTTTCATTTTTCGCTTCAGATTCAGGGCTTTTCGCTTTTCGCCTTTCGCCTTTCGATTTTCGATTGCTTTTGTTAGCCGTTGTTAAAAAACATTTATGCGCCATAATCAAAAGCAATGCGACACCCACACATGTTGCTATTGTTATAGCCACAATTTTTGTTGTTCTTGTTGTTGTTATTGTTGCTGATGTTGTTACTGTTGCTATAGTGGCGAGTTCACACAGTTCAGTTCAGTTCAGTTCTGGACAAGGTTATGGCATTTGATTATTGCCTAGGATTAGGCTATAATTGTGTATCGCATTTCGTTATTTGTTTTCATTCCACATTCTCCCCGCATCGCCAAAGGCTCTTCAACTCCAAAATGCTGCCATAAGCTGCGCTTATAATGCGCTCAGCGCTCTGTCATTGACTTTGGCGGATAAAGGGGGAAGCGTTTGAATAAATGCTGCAATAGGTTGTGATGAGCTTCAAAGCCGATAAGTCCAACAAATTGATGCGTTTAATAATCCGCCCCTTTAATATACGCTGCGTATGAGTTATATTATGCCAGAGTCAACGAGCTGCGCTCAAGCTGGGCGGTAAACACAGCATAAACTCCGGAATGAAACCGCTCATTTACACTCAAACAATCTCAACTGAGCAGCAGCAGCTGGGCAGCCAGTTTCGGGAATTGGCTTGAAAATTTCAGGCATATTTGGTAACGGGTCATTAAATACGGAAATTGAGTCAACAAAGTCAAAACGCCAAGCAGGAAGGAAATACACAAGCCACAAATATACACACACGCTTTCATCCAGTTACATTCACAAAAGAACTCGACAGGGTTTTTGCGGCTACCAAGAGTTGAGTCTAGAGTGAAGATTCTTCGGCTTGGCTGCTCTGTTTTTTTTTTTTTGCAGCTACTGCTATGATTTTGATTATGTAACATTTGGATGTGACCAGCACACACACGTGCACAAGCACACGCATAGCAAAGGTCGGTAATTGCTGCCACTGAAAAGAGCAACAGCGGCAGATTTCTTCTTCTTTCGATTGGCTGCCAATAACAGAGAAACGCTTCCATGCACAATACGATAACAGTAAGAAGACATGTGTATGTGTTTGTTCTTGTGCGTGTATGTATGTTTCTGTGTGAGTCAAAGGTTACCCAATTGGATTCAAAGAGCATACGTCTGTATTGACTGTCGGTCAGGCGGATGATGCAAAACGTATTTCGCATTCACATATTTAAATTTCTCCAATTTTCGCTCTGTTTATTTTTTGTTTTGCAAATCAATAGCAGTTGTCTTGAGGTTTCTGTAGATATTTTTGTAGTCACATAACCCAAACATCTTTATGGGCACTTTGGGCCTCAGGTATGGCCTCACGCAATTGCCCCATAGAGACGTTTCCCCTTGCCCCACAACCACAGTTTGAGCTGCTGGACAAGAAGATACCTTTGATGCACTAGAGAAAACTTTCAAAGTTAACTCTTTAGCAGATAATTAGTGTAAACAAACGCCCATCTGAAATGAAATACCCTACTTATTTTTGCTTATTGCGCAAGATTTTCACAGCAGGAGAGCGAAAATCTTTAGCGACTACCATGACTACCATTGTAAGCTGTGAATGGTTTGGGTATTCTAAGTTTGCTTAACAAACTTCTTCCTTTGCCCTGGCTTTGCCCCACGTCCTACTGTACACCCCCGAATGTTCATAAAATATTTATTATTACAACGATTATACAAAGAGTTCGTTTTATGCAAAACTTTAGCGATGCATCAGCAAAAAACGAAGAAATTATTGTGGAACCTGCAGATAAGGGTATAAGGGATCTACGCACTTCACATTTATGCATCCATTTAAATTATGTACAAAACAACACAAGCTCAAGCGCAGGAATGCAAGTGGATAATGCCCTTGATTAGATGAGGTTTACAAGAGAACTTATTCTTCCACTCTGCAGGCACGACAACAAAAGACTCACGCAGCAATTCAATTTATCAAAAGCAGCGCTCGGATGTATGCCATAAACATAATTAAAATGTTTTTAATTTGCGTTTACCGAGTGGCAAGAAAATTAACTTTTCAGCATTGTTGGCGACAATTTCATGCAGGAGCTGACACTCGTTCGAGCCAAAAGCAGGGAATGGCTGGGCCACGGTTCGGTAAGGGCTACAACAAGCGCAATTAACATATTTTATCAATCTTTTCACGTTGCCTCTCGCCACTGCCCGTCCACACTTACGCAATTTAAATAACTCAAGTGGCAAACGGCACATCACAAGGACACTCGACACAGGCGCAGACATACGAGCATCATCAGGCAAGCAGACAGACTGCAAGGCTGGGAAGCTGGGAGGCTAGCAGGCAGGCAGGCAGCCATTCACATAAAAACATTAACACTTTGCGCGCGTGTGTATGTGTGTGTAGGCCAGGTGCAGAGAGCGCGGGGTCAAAGTTGGCCAGGCCACATTAAGCTCAGCCGGTTTTTTCCCGGGTCACTGGGGCCACAAGGTCGCCCCGCATTACGCACTTGGCCAAGTAAGACATAAGGCGGATAAACAGGACGCGAACTCAGCGGATACGCGGGCCAAAACCAAACACATAAATTACACTTTAATTTTGCAGCATTTTTGGCCACGGCTTATAAATCAACAACATGGCTCTGGAAGGGGCACCAGCAAAACCAAAAAAAATACAAAAAAACAAAATATGAGCAAGTGCCGCCATGGAGCGACAGCTGCTGCCTGGGTCGTGCTTTTCGCCTGCCTGCCAGGTCCTGGGCCATGGGCAATATTGAAATTTCAATTTAATTACATGCATTGAGCGGAGCGAAGGCACTCCACGCTGCCCGCCAGTTGCCAACAAAATGAGCTGTTGGGCAAGAGCAACAACAACGCCAACAACAACAATACCAATAGAAACCAAAAAATTGAAGTGCACTGCGGTTAAAGCTTAATTTGTTAAGATAATTGTGCTCAAATTGTATTATTATGAAATGGGCATCCGCTTTTGGGTGCTTTGCTCTTCTCGCACTTATTATCAAAATTAGATTTCAAGTGCGCCTCGACCACAGCCTGGCTTAACTTTGACCTTAACGGCCGTAACTCAGTTCGGCTCTTTGCGTAATTGGATAATGGGCGAGATTTGGCTGAAACGAAAACGAAAGCCCAGCAAATCCAATTAGCTGCGACCAGAGCTGATGCCATTGAAACTTTCTTCCGTTACGCATTAAGTATATGAACCAGAGAGGGCAAAAGTGTCAAAGATTTAATAGTCGTGCTTGTTGTAATCTAAACTCAACCAAAATCCCTTAAAATAAGAACACGCTTTCAATACCATTTTATAAAAGTGATAGAACCTGGCAAATTAAATCAAGCGTTGGCAAAATATATAACACTAGCGGGTATAACCCGGCCTTCCCCGTGGTACGTATAAAATAAATAAACCTCATGGAAATCGAATGAGATTTGACCGATTTATGGGAGTGGGAAATTTCGACCTATGTCTATATTGGAGGTACCGTTTTCATATGAATTTTGACCAAGATTAATGTGTCCGAATATATATGCTTAAATTGATCTAGAGGTCAAACCATGAAGAAAGAGCCAAACCTCGTGGAAATCGAATGAGATATGACTGAGTTATGGGAGTCGGAAATTTCGACCTATGTCTATATAGGATTTTTACCCCTTTTAACGTGCATCTTCTTCACATAAGGTAACTACAGTGAAAATGGTAGCTTCCTAGCGCTTACGGCTTGGGCTGTGCGTTGATTCCTTATCAGTCAGTCAATCAGTCAGTCAGTCAGGACAAACAGTTTTATATATAGAAAGATGCAGTTTTATAATATGAAGAATCTTTTTTTTCCCTACCAAAACTGAACTGCCTGTCAGGTTGCGTTAACATCTAAGTTTGTAAATTAGGAGTAAATTAGCAGAGCAGTAAGAAACATAATATATAGCAAAATTAAGGAAGTCGGAATAATAAATCTCGGGCTATTTATTTAATGGTATCCAATGGAATCCTATTAAAATTTAACTATCTAGAAAAATTATTAACAAAAAAAATATAATTTGGCTTGCGCAGCGCTTAGCCAGAACTTTGCACAATCGGCAACTTATTCGTTTTTCTGTTTAATATTAATAGGGGCGTTCAAAGGGTCAACGAGGCGTGTCCCCAACAACAATGCAACCCATTCTGTCGAATTCTGGGTAATGCTTTTAATTAATTCTTAGCAGAAGAGCAAAAGGCAAAACAAAAGTCGCGAATCGAGTCGAGGCAAAGATTCAAAGTCAAGTTGCCTGCAGCAGCGAATACATGAAATAAAAATATTATGAATAAAATCCATTCATGCAAAAGTCGCCCGAAACCCGACCGCAAGTGCGCCACTTTGGCATGAATGCATGTATGCAAGTGTGTATGTGAGTGTGGTGGCTGTGGCTCGTTAAGGCAACCACATGCCGCTCGCAGCAGGGCGGGCGAAATCAATTTTAAAGTGAATTTAATAAAAGTGCATTTATGCGCATTTTGTGGCAATTAAATGCAATGTAAATGTTGGCCAAACTGAGGCTTCACTGTGAATACTGGCACATTTAAACACATGTCGCCTGGTCGCCTCGACGCCCTGCCCTCCGGCTCCGACTAAATGTGGTGGGGGAGATCAGGCACACCAGGCACGTGGTGTAATTAAGCTGATGTGCAAGTCTTTCACGTGGTGCGAACATTGCCAGCAGCAGGCAATTAAATTGATGCCTGAACAGACAGCTTAACCCACAATTTTGGGCGCTTTCTGGCGCGACAGATTTATGACAATCGCGCTAAGCAACTCTGAGGAGCTCGCTGGCTAATCTAGGTGACGGCTGGAGGGGAGGGATGGCCGGGTGCTGAGTTCGGCTCACCTGGCAACTGCCGTCGCTGGTCGTAAATGTGCGAGCCAAACACTTTGAAATAAACATTTCAATTTGTTGCCACCGCTGCTGTGGCAATTTGGTGTGAAAAACTTGTAGATATTTTTAGATGTCGCCTTCTGCCGACTCCTCGCCGGCTGGCTGCTCGCCGATTTTATGACCACGTGACGGGAACATCTTCGTGCCAATTGCATGGCAGGCGAAATGTGTCAAGTGAGCGGTGACTGATGTAGCGAGTAACAAGCAGACGCACCACCATCAACCACCAGCAGCACCAGCGACTTCGACAGCAGCGCCCGCGGCACAGTGAAGCACATAAGCTGCAATTGCATAAAAAAAAATCGTTCATTGTAGAACAACACATGACTGAAGAGAGCAGAACAGCAGAGGTGGGGGGTTCACTTAAAAAGACGTTGCCTTCATTGCGGCAATTGTCTGAGCCAGTTAGCTGCAGTCGCTCCCTGAGAAATACTGTCACTGTCAATGTCTCCTTGCCAGAGCTTGGCAATAATTTGTTTATGGACCTGTCTTTTGGGTTAGGAGCATGCTGCGTTCTCCCGCCCAAATACATTACACGCGCAATGTTAATCTGCTTTTAATTAAAAGCAAGGAACAATGCTCTAAGCAGCTTATACTTGCCCCCTGCTGGAGCCTGGCCCAACTTAACTCAACTCAACTCGACCCTACAGCAGAGCCGACTAATTGCCATTTGTTTTGGCTGCCTGGCTTTTATTGTATGTGGCATTGCAGCCACATAAAAGGCGTTTGTTTCTGGCCAAGTGTGATACTGCCAAGACATGTGCCTACAGCGCCAGGAGTTGAATAGGCTGGGTGCGATGTCAATTACAATACAAATGTGTTCACTGACAATGACACGAAATGAATGACAATGAGCATATGTATTGAAGGAACCGGGGATGAGAAAACTATATGTATGCAAGCGTCGCATGAAGACAATTAGCATGAAAATATCTAAGCGGCATTTTCAGAACAAATTAAATTGGTCTAAAAAATGCAATATGTATGTACATCGATCAAAAATTACCCAAACTTCTCGTGCTTGTATTTTTTTTCACTCTCTCGCTCTCTTTCTCTCTATCGCTCTCTCTCTCTCTCGCTCTCTCACTCTTTCCCTTTTTCTCTCTCTCTCTCATTCTCTCTGTTTCTCTCTCATGCACCATATTTTTCTCTCACACTGTCACTCCCAAACTAACGAAAATCGCATAGAAAGGAGTTATTTAATAGTGATATCAGTAGCATGAAGTCCACATAAATAAATCAAAATATTACGAAAAAATTTATCAAAAATATATAATTCCATTAAAGTCTCCTCGTCGCCAAACGAATAATGATTGATGACAAAATATTAAGTAAAATCAATCAAGCTATGAAACAAGTTCAACTTTGACTAAAAAAATACCATGGCCGTGTAAAATATGTCAAAGACAATTAATTATAAAATTCATAAAGCGAACCCAAACGCCCACAAAAACAACCGAAAAACAAATAACAGAAACAGGACGAACCAAATGTATGAAAAATGCGGCTGACAAAATTGTCTTTCATAATAATTTGTACAAACAAATGCGATTGGGAGGCGGGGGGTGGTTCAGACCGCCTGTCAGTACGATACAAAGGTAGGAATAAATCAGTTGTAATGGAGGTGGCGGGTGCGGCAATAATTAAAAAAAACGATGTTTTCGTAAAAATACCAGACAAAAACAATATCAATATTATAGGCCCATCCTATGTAGACAGTAAAAATAATGTTTGCAGGCGAGAGCAATAATAATGTTGCTGCAAACACGTGTTTACAGCAGCAATGCGATGCGACCGCAGAGCAGCAGCAACAACAGCAGCAACAGCTGGGTGCAGACAATGACCCCGGCCGCACTTCCCCGAGATGCGTCTGTGTGCACATTTTAATCAATAAACAAACGTAAAAATATGACAAACAAATTAATAAAATGCAACAACACAAAAGATTGAAGCAAAGTTCGGGGGCGGCGCACACACAATGACAAAATGTGATAAATGAAGCCGCGCGTAGGCCTGCCAATGACAATGGAACAGCACCGACAACAAGGGCTGTCAGTACGGAGGCAGCCTCTGACTAAATATAGATGCCCCTCCACCCTCTTCAACGGCATGCATTGTCGTGTAATTGTGACAATTTGGTCCCATACAAATGGGATAATAAATGTTGAGCGTAGGAAATGATGTGTGAAGTGCAGCCGATCTGCCACCCTTTCCTCAACCCAAACCCAACCCTTTTATAGTTGCCGGAAGTGATTTCTGGCTCAACTGAACGGCCAATCGCTGGTTTAACTAGACTGCAATCCTATAACGAGGCATTATGCGAAATGCCGCTGCTTCATTATTGCGCCGAGTTCCAACAATAACCAAATTATTAAGCGAGGCAGAGATCACCAACTTTGAGATACTCTATATAGAATCTGTAGTTTTCGAAAGTATTCGTCAAGTATTGCCGAACCAAAGTTGAATTCATATCATAAAAAGAATTTGTATAAAAGACAATTCATATCTATGATATACCCTCTCTGCACATTATTCATATTTGAGTTTTTCTTTCCAACTTGGGTGCTGCGAACAGCAATTCCCCGTTATGCGCAGCCACGCCTCTTAGCTGGACTGAGCCTCCACCAAACGGGGTACAACGGGTTGGAATGACGACATCAAGGGATAAAGGCAACAACAATTTGTAGCCACGATGCCAACGGGCAGATGAGGAAGATGCAGAGCTTAAAGGATTTGAAAAAGTGCATTTCCGGAATTGTAGCGCATAATTAAGCAGCCGCGGGATGCCATAAATAATGAAACGGGTAAATTCGAAAATCCATTGGCAGCATCAATTAAAGGCTTTGTTGATGGGCTCAAGCAAAGAGAGCGTGCGGTTGTTGGCCAATTAGCCAGCCAGCTATATAAGCATATACACAGATACACACACACTTATGCAATATAATATATGCCTATGTTAGGTTATTTGAATAGAACGCATACCGATTGACCGCGCTAAGGTCAACGCAAATGCTTATCAGAGTGCCCCGTGGAGTCTCATAAATCAAACGGGAAATTGTGGCACGTGATCGCCGCTGAAATGCGACCGTCTCTGTTTGCTGGGGGAATGGGAGCGGGAGGCGACTTAGGTTCAGGAGCTGCACTTGCCTGGTCATAAATTATTTATTTAGAACTTGGCTGAGTTTAACGGCATGCAATAAAATTAATATATATTTTTGCCCTGCGCTGCTTTGTCAACAACTAATTGAAACATTATTTGTCTATCTCTTTCCAGCTAATTGCCGGCCAGACCATTAGGAAACTTTGTACATGTGTGAGTATGTGTAAGTGTGGGCAAGTGTGTCTGCCACATGAAGCAATTAGACGCAGCACTAAAATCGCCTATAAACGTCAAGCAACAAAAATTTTCGCGGAAAAGCAGCCGAAACAGCGGAAAATCTAACGAACAGCAACGACACTTTCCCGGCAACATAAGACTTGGGCACTTGGCAACATACTTACATACAGAAAACGTAAGCAGCATGTTGCCAAGCAGCTGCAGCAGCAGCGGCAACATTTCAAATTTATTGCTAAGCGGCGATGGCAACAACAACATACCCGCAAAACACTTCGTGCGTGTTTAGTCGCATTCGTATCTCTGTCGGCTGCGTATCTGTATCTGTCGGTTGTGTGACGCGCTCGTTGTGACTCTCTGCGGCAGCGGTATTGCAGAATGACGTATTAAAAGCAGATAAACAAAGCGAAGAGCGGAGGATCTGTTTGTGGTACGGATTGTAGGCGGTGTGTTCAAAAGTGGAGGCAGCCGTGCGTAAGCCTGAAATCAAAATTGAAAATACGAAAACAATAAATCAAAATAAAAACGTGCTGAAAAATCTACAAACGAATATCAAATAAAAATACATATGCATAAATTCATCAAGTGAAAAAAAAGTCAAAGTAAAAACATTTCTAATTTTTTAGCGAGCAGAGAGTCAAAATAAAAAATCAAATACAAATACTCTTATTATATTAGATACAAACAACAAACTAAAGTCGAGGAATGAAAAGTAAACTTCTCAAAAGGACATTAATAAATAAACCAAACTAAATTCGAGACTTAATAAATGAACTAATCCAAAAACTACAAGTGCGGCTAATGATTTATAAAAATGCTCCCCAATGCATGCTAGACTAGACCCCAGCCCCAGCTCCAGCAACGCGCCAAATTAAGCCTAATCTGGCAAACAGCGTGCCAAATTAATTAACTCGCTCGTCAGCTACCCGCTGCACATCTCTGCCGGTCCATTAATTTCACACTTAATTAATGTCAGGCGGCAAGTCCGGAGCAGGGCCGGTGACAAACGCTCGCAAAGTGTCCAAAAAGCGCGACTCGCTGGCAATGTGGCAGACGCTATCAACGCTATCCACATCACTCACAGTGCTCCCCACGGTACTCACACACGCGTCGGACTGTAAGTGCCAGCTCATCAGGTCAAAACAACGCACCAACATTAGTGGCACCAACACGGAAATGCAAAGTCATAGCTCGAGTAGCGGCAGCAATTCGGTCAACATGTTGCCATCAACATCAGCAGACACCGCGACGACAACAACAACGGCGACGGCTACGGCTATGACTATGACAATGACAACAACAGCGACAGGAGTGGTAAAAACCGCGCGTAGGTGTCACTGCCAGCCCAGCAACAACATTGCAACCAGCATCCTGCAGTGGCTGCTGCTACTGTGCATCTTATGTGGTAAGTACGAGTTGCAGCAACGACCAGCCAACAATCAACAAATGAGCTATGGCTAAAGGCCGTAAGTGACTTTTAGCAAAATGCGCTTAAATGTCTCTGATTTAGTGGACCACACAAAAACCCAGGCATTTCCACAGCCACACAGTCAAGTGATATAGAAATGGGCTAAAAAAAACAAGCTAAAAAACTGCTGCAGCATTAGTCCCGCAACAGCTAGAAAAAAAAAAGAACCTCGCAGCACAAATCAAGATGAATTTCCGTGCATTTTTGTGCAGATTTTTGTGTGGCTTTAGCCAAAAAAGAAAGATATATATACGCAGACAGGACGAGACATGAGAGTCCGCTTCTAAGTAAATGCAACGAACGCGCTCACAACTGACGGCCCCGAACGCTTGTGTCTGTCTGTGGTTTTTGGGCCAAATCTTAAACGCTACAACAAATAAATAACTAACAAAAGCGCATGTCGATAATGCTCGACAATGTAATACTCTATACTGACAAAAAAAATAGTGGGAGCTTGTCATGTAAATAGTAAAGGCATTTGAAAACAAATTTTTTATTTTTAATACCATTGTTGTATTTTCATAAGCACATATATATTAAAGAGAATATCTTAATTTCGACAAAGAATCAAAATGAATTCTTGAATGTTCATATTTTTATAACACAATCCCCAATAGTGATAAACAACTAACTGATATTATAAAAATTACCTAAGGCGTTTGCCCATTTGATGGGTATACAAGCACTCGCTGCCAATATATACACTTGTTACACCTCATGCTGCTCGTAAGAACAGGGTATGAGTAAATGGAAAAACATGTGAAAGGAAAAACATTTGAAAATAGTGCCAAGAAAAAGAAGAAACTAAAACGAGCAGTAAAAGGACTCGAATCGTAAGAGAGAGAGAGAGAGAGAGTGAGGGGAAGAGAGATAGACACACAGCTGAGACAGCAAGTAATACAAATTGACTCGTGTTTTTCATTTTTCCGTGTGTGTTTTTCACCGTTTGCTTTGCTGCTTTCAATAATTTTGCTTGATTTTGCAGCTGCAGTAGGTGGCTTTTTTGCTGCTGTTGAAGCAGACGCAGTTGCTGCCACTTAAAACTGAAATTAACTCCAGCACACGAAAGTGTGCAACGAAAAACGAACATGCCAAATCAGGGAACATGTGGGTTATTGGTGTGTGTATGTGTGTGTGTGTGTGAGTGTGCACGAATTGCTTGATTATTTCGTTTTGAAATTGATGCTGCAATCAATTATAGAACAACACAAAGAAGAGAAGCAAAACGAATCGAATTCGGTTAGCGAACAGCAACCACAGCAGCCAAGAATAATGGCCAAGCCAGCAATTGAGGTTCCGTTGCCACTGGCAGCGCAGCCACGTTTAAAGCCAAGTCTTTGTTATTGATTTGCCAAGCGAACCCAAGGCGAATACGCTGCGCTATGCTAAAATAAACTGAAATCAATTTAGTTAAGCTCAACCAACCACTCAAGAGCCAGCCGACGCTGCCACCAGCCACCCAACTAATCAAGATAAATAAATATTTATAATTAATTTAAAATATAAACACGAAACAGCGCGGCCCGCAATTAATTTCCGCAACCGGCAGCAAAAGGAAATTCAACTAGAGCCAAAATATTGCGTATACGCAATGTAGACTTAATCGACAAAGCTGACGACGGCCGCCTTCCTCTTGATAAGGTTCTCATCAGAAACTTGCAGGCATATGAATAAATGAATGAATGCATGAATAAGTAATCAACTGAAATGACCAGCACCACAACGAGTGGCTAACGAATCAGAGGCTGGTGGCGGGGGCGGAGCCAGAGCCAGAGCAAGTGGCACATTGCGAAATTAAGAAAATGTGTAAGCAACGAAAAAGGTTAAAGCGCAGCAGCCCTTAAAGCAGCCCAAAAGGGTCAAGCAGCACGTTAAGCGACTGTCAGCTATGGGCCAGCCAATACGTAGCTAATGAGTCCCAGCCCCAGCATCAGGTGTAGGTATCCTCAGCAGCAGAAGCATATCACGGGGCAGGAATGTGCGTGAGCCTGGCTGCCTGCGCGTGCTTAATGAACTGCAATCAATGGCGCCAGTCGATAAGCAACGAAAGGCGACTGATTGTGCGTGCAACATGAGGCTGACCGCAAATGCGCACAGATACGCACATTCATATGGTACACACACACACACACACGTACGGGCGGGCGCACCACAAATGATTTATACAGCGCGCTTTTTGTTCGGTTTGGCGCATTAATTACGCACATTTTGTTGAAATTTATTTAAGCGCACAGCACGATACATTAAACGATTTCCCACACACACACACGCACACACACACTCTCTCTTGGAAAAATAATTAAATACAACACACGCGAATTGGGCTAGGCATGAAAATGCTTTCCAAATTTATTTACTAATAGTATTCGTTGTTAGATTTTGCTTTTAAGAGTCAATTCAAATTCTTCTAAATATATGCAAAAATGTAACAAAGTTAAATGCAAACGTGTGAAAATAAACAAGATACAATGCTTTAGTAAGAAATATGCAACCATTATTATTTTAAATTTTATTTTCTAAATGATTACTAGTTCAAAATACATCAATTATCAATAGGAAAAAATTAGCTTCTGTTCATTAATAAAATGCAATATATATAGCTCAATTGACAGGAACTTATCAAGCGGACACCTTTATGCTACACCGATACCAATCAAAGGTACAGCCCACAGACATTCACTTTTATGTTTTTGGCACAGCACCCACGCACATACACACTCACACAGCTATAGAGCCACACATACACAGATGTCAGTTGGTGATGCAGCTGTTACTACGGTTCACGGCCTTTGACAAGCTTTTTGATGACTGTTTGACAAATGTAAAAGTTGCAGCATTTCACTTGACTTCAATAAAAACCCATATTAAATGTTCAAACATGGACATTTCTATCTGAAAACCAATTTTTTCTGAATTCGCCATTGGCGAATGTGTAAATAAAAGTCTATATTCATTCAAGTCACACAAATATTGAAAATATATGTCAAATGTGTATTTCGTTAAATAACTTTTAGAGCTGCATTCAACAATCTCTGAAATGATAAACTGAATTGATATTTTAATACTTTTTAAGAGAGGGTTTTATGAAGAGATTATTTGCTTAAGCAATTGATGATTATAGCTGACACTATCAAACACGCGCATGCACAGACATATCTAAGCCATTCAGAAGCCATAAACTGTGCAAATGGAACCCAACCATGGAGAACAAATTTAAGTACATTATAACAACGTCAAAACCGTTCAGCCCATCAACGCAACCACACTCTCTCACAAACACACAGGGGCATTCAACCAGTTGGTATTAGCAATAAATGTTGACCAAAAATGTTAGTTGAATGGCCAAGTTCTCAAAACGCATAAAAACTATAAAAACTTTTCAACATTTCAATTCATAATTCAACACATAATTATATCTGGCTAGCTCTGTCTAGCTCTTATTCCATCCCTCTCTCTCTCTCTCTCTCTCTCTCTCTCTCTATCTCACTCTAACTCTTTTTCGCTCTCGCTCTATGTGCGCACTGGTCAGTCGAAATGTGTCAGCAACTTTTCAAAACTGTAACAGTGCCAATTTGTCCACAAGTACCATGACCAGCCCTTGGTCCTTTTCGTCCTGCGTTGCACATTGCAATTTGTAATGAGAATTCAACTCAAATTTCGCTGTTCACAAATTTTGAAAACATTTTGCTGGCATTGCTCATTCACAGTTGATATGCAAATACATATATTGCTTGCCTCGCTTATGCATTATGCTAAATAATTGTTCACGTTCTTTGCCAGGAAGCGAAGGGCAGGGCAAGTGGCAGAGTTGTTCGCCATTTTTGCAATTTGTTTTAGACAACAATATTGCGTTAATTATCACAGAGTGCCGTCAAAATTAATTACAGCCGCCGGGCAAACTGAGTTTGCGAGTGTGTGTGCGTGTGTGTGAGAACCATCAGTTTAATTTTGCGCAGCTTGTTATTGTTAAGCACGCGTAATTACATGAAGAATTCATGTGTAAAAATTTGTTTTTGTTAACCCAAAATTGTTGAACTTTAAAGCTAACGTTTTATTGGATTTTATGCACAGCCCACAGAGAGAAAGAGAAAGAGAGAGTAATTGACAGCCCTACAAAAAATACGCAAGGAGAAAATTGAAAAACTTGCCAGCGCTTCGCTTAACTTGCAGTTGAAATATGAAAAATAAACTTGGCGTTCAGCTTCCTCAGCCCAATGCAAAATGTGCAAGCAAATTTTTAAAAATTATTGCACATCATGCCCCAGAAAGCCGCAACGGGATAAGCAGCTGCCGGGCGCGCCGCTGGGATGAGCGCAAGCAGCAAATGTTGGCGGCGGGTGCGCAAACAGGCTTTGGGGCAGACAATAAGTTAAATTAGTTTGCTAGCAGCACGGCATTTACGCCTCCAAGCCCTTGGCGCTTTCTCTCTCTCTCTCTCTCTCTTTATCTGTGTCTCTATGGGTCTTTCGCTCTGTCCACATGACAACAAAAATATGACTCATAAATTATCACAAGTGAGTTCATCACACGGCTTGCACTTGCCACATTGAGTGGCCGCGTGTATGTCTGCAAAAGTTCGTCTGGCTGTAACCGGCTCGGCAGCTGCTCCAGCATGCCCAGCATGCCGAGCACTCCCCGCAACCTTCCACCTTTCACCTTCTGCGCCCCGCGCATATTTGTAACTAAATCTGTGAGCTCAGCTCAGCAAAAGTTTATGTGGTCTGCATATGCGTTTGTGTGTGCGCATGTGTATGTGGATGGCCTGTTGAGTGGTGTGTGGGTAGTGCATATTGTCATAATGTTGAATGCATGATATATTGAATTGTGCAGTCAATAAACGTTTTATGATCACAGCTGCACATATTTCAGTTTCTCTCTGGCAAACTTGCTGCGTAAATCGAAAGCTATTACAATGACTAAATCAAGCCAAATAGGTATTTACCACATGACGTACATGCACATGAATCCATACACACACACACACACATGTGTGTATACCACAAGCTGCCATGAAAACCCATCATGGGCTCTTAAATAGGCAGCAACTATATGCTGTAACATTAACGAGGTTGAAAGAGGAAGAGAGAGAGAGAGAGAGAGAGAGAGTTAGATAGAGAGAGAGAGGTAAAGCGATTTACTGTGCTGAAAAAAACTGAAACAAATTCATCATCACGTTGTCTATCCTTGGCTTGCCATCTGCTCCATTGGCATCTGCTAAAGCTACTCGATGCGCAGTTACAAAACTGCATGGCCATAAAGCTAAGCCCGAACTAATTTCGAAAGCCGACTAGGCCTAAGGAGCAGAAAGAATGGCGAAACGACGACAGCCAAGCGTTACAAAAAGCAAAACACTGTCAGCCATGAGAATATTGTCCACGAGGATGACGCAGGATGCGGCACAACAAGCAGCAGCAGCAGCAGCAATAGACGCAACCGAACGGATATTGCGCACAGCCTAGCTCCACTCCCAATGAGATGTGAATGGGCGCTTGGGCGGAGGTGGGTGCCAAGGCTGTGACAAAATTGAAGCAGTCACTGGGGCCGGGCAACACTCGGATGATATTGCGTTGCTATCAAGATTTGAGTTGGAAACAAAAGTGAAGCCGCAAAAAAAATAAAACATGGACACTGTCAGAAGTCGAAGCTCAAATGCCCTTATTACGCATAATGGACAAAGTACACAACATATTTCGAAAATGGAATTTGATAACACATGATTTCATCAGATTATCGATAAGCATTGTCTAAAATTCACATTTGAAGAAATACACTGTAGCATACTTTCTGGTGTCATTCTTCCTTGCATACAAAAAAGATTGAGTATTTTGTATAAAGCTTGCATTAGCAAATAAGTCGAGGCGAGCTTGCAAATTCAGTTCGCACTTAGAACTCAATTTTTAGATAACCTTTCTATCCCATCGGCATAGAAGAATATAATTTTCAGAAGTCTTTAATGTGGATTTATGCCTGTGTATCAACAGCATACAAGAATACATATGTAAATATTTTTTTCTTATGCTACCACTTATCTAAAAAGCATATAATACCCTCAATAAGAGTAGATGTCGGAAAAAATGCATAGTCAAAATGCTTGGTGATAACAGGCAAAGGGTGAAACAATGACAAGAGAAATGGAGATAGAAAGCGCAGCAGGAAAAAATAAAAGAAAATGATAAAAAAAAAAGGCAAAGAGGTTTACAGCTTCTCGTAAGGCGGCTTAAACGATTTGCGAGTTTATGAAAAGCCAAACACACTTTACACACAATCTGATCTTATGTGCTCGCGCGTGTGTTGGGGTGTGTAAAAAAATTGTAAAACAAATGGAAAATTGCTTTTTGATGTAGTCAGTCAAGCTGGCCATGCATGCAAGTCGACGTCATCATCAGAATGTAGCACTTTAAGTCGCTTGCTTGGCTTTAAGTGTAGGGCCCAAATGCTTGCCGCAAGCCAGCTGCATGTTGCAGTTGCAGTCACGTCGCACCGCCTGCATTGGTGAATCGCAGCATATTTTAATCCCTGCATTTTATGCGGCCCAATGCCCATGAAACGCAGAAGGATGACGATGTTGTGGTTGATATGGATGATGCCGCTGGTCCGCGTACGGACATATATCGTATCAATATTGTTTTACGGTCCCTGCCGTGTATGCAAATGTGACCACGTAGTGCTGCCAGCCACTTCTGCTCACACCACAGGACGTTGAAAGGCCGGAGAGTTGGCAAGGAGAGTATACAACGCGTACCTGGCAACTGCTGGCAATTTGTGGGCTTTACCTTTGATAGGATGACTGCAGGCTAACGTGGGCGTTGGCTACCTATCCCCTGCCATTTATGGCATACTCATGCACGCTGCATCAATTTGAATAAATCTCATATAGCTTTTTCTCTCCTTCATTTCCAGATGCCGCCCAGGCGACGCTGCGTAATGTCAACCTGCTCGTGGAGCCACCGGCTGTGCGACGTGGCCAGTCCGTGGTGCTGCGCTGCGAATATCAGCTGGACGGAGCTCCGCTCTATTCGATTAAATTCTATCGCGGGCAGTTGGAGTTTTATCGCTTCACGCCTGGCGAGTATCCACACACGAAGGTCTTTCAATATCCCGGCATCAAAGTGGACGTAAGTCCCTACCTCCTTTCCTTTATACAAACGATGTCCCGTCCTCGCTTCCTTTAAACAACACAATAAAGCACTGATGTTCTTACAGGAAAGCAACTCGAATGCAACCCTGGTGCTCATACGAAATGTCAGCTTTGGGCTCTCCGGCAATTTCAGCTGCGAGGTGACTGCCGACGCACCGCTCTATTCGACGGCCACCGCCTACGCGCAAATGCAAGTTGTGGGTGAGTATCGCATTAAAAGAATTGGGCCAAAAGTCAACCCACCCGCCTATCTGACACGCCCTTCTCATTTGTGCGCCTGGCCACAAGGAGCCCACAACAATGGCAGCCTCATCAAGATCAAGCGGCTGACCGTTGATGGTACTTCACACGCAGGCTCGCCACGGCCCCTTGCCTTCCGTTACCATCCTCTCTGCCCAGTTCCTTTACACAAGCAGCTGCAATTAAAAAGACCTAGGCAAATGCTTTAACCAGAGCATATAACCAGAGAATATTACCACCACACCAAGTACTCATTCTCCGAATATCTTTTGATGCACGCCTTATAGTATATAAAAGTTCACTGCATTGAGGATATCTCTATAATATTTCAAATACCCTTTTATTATTTAGTTATAAAATGATTTTAAATTTATAAATTTGAGAATTGCCAAAGCGACTGCTTTAAAGATTTTGCGCAGTTGAAAAACCTTTTTTTTTATTTTTTGTTTATTTTTTCCCTTTTTTTTTTGAACAACAGACAGAAGCAAACATTTGTTTGTTTATTTTTAGTACATCAAAGAGTAGTAAAGGGTTGCCTAATAAACAATTATGTTCTCTAAATATGTTACAGAATTCCCAGAGAAACGACCACAGCTCTTCACAGAGCAGAAGCGCTATGAGCCCGGCGATGTGTTGAGGGCCAATTGCAGCACGCTGCCGTCAAGACCACGCGCCGAGCTGCGCTTCACCATTAACCAAATGCCGGTAAGTGTAACTGTATGATACTTGCGGCTCCTTGCTGCTCCCTGCTGCTCCTTGGCCCCATTTGCCACAACTCAGCCGCGCAACTTACTGTCCAATCTCGGTGCTAGGCAAGGTTGCGGCAGTGGGGCAATGAATTATTTGCATTATAAAGCAGAACTTGTGGCATAGCCTAATTAAACAACGCTGGCTTGGTAAATGGGAACGTAAATTCTGTATAATTACGAAAGCCACTTGCTGAGCCTTAAACTCATTTGGAGCACATGTGTTAGGCTGTGGCGGGGCTTCGTTTAATCTCGTGCGATGTGCGCCATGTAATTTGTCGTTTATTTATGAATATGATGTAACAGGAATGGAACCCGAACCTAATTAAAATTTTTGGCTCAAAGCGAAATGTGAAACCTGCACACACACAGAATTAAGTCAATAGACGGAGAAAAGGGTTGCGCGCTTTGATTTGATTGTGCGATTTGCCCCTGTCATTTATCATTACACAAGAAGGCAAATGAAAATGGAAAATGCCAAATGCTGAATGGCAAATGCCAAATGGAAAATAGAAAAGGAAGCAAACAAGTCACTTGGGTCACACAGTCGAAGTCATATGCATACGCACTGCCTGGAGAGTACATCATTAGTCATTTGGCGGCATTTTCATGTTTGCATCCATTTTGCGACTGGGCGCTAATCAGTTGCATAAATCACGAATGAAATCCGAGCATGGCCCAGCCAAGACTCTGACTCAAACTCAGGCCCGGGCCTCAGACCCAGGGCGGGGTTATCGTTTTTAAAAAGCAAATGCTTTCCATTTTTGTATCCCATTTTGACCGCAGGCTGGCCAACCTTTTTCTTTGTCGCATTGCTGTTATTAATCATAGCCACGACATAAAATAAATTACGTTAAACTTGTGCACAGAAATTGCCCGGTCAGAGCCGGACAAATCGGACGAGTCGCCAGAGCCGGACGCTGCCTTCAAATGAATTTACGAGACAACACTTTTCAGCTGACACGCCCACACGAAGAGCGCAGAGCGCATTCGATTGTCGACTGCCGACTGTCGACTGTTGTCTGTCTGTTCATTGTCCTGACGGCTGCCAGGCAAAAGAAAACTTATTAAACGCTTCATAAATTTTTATATTATGTCTACCCACATCATCAGACATAACGTGCACTGGCACTGGCATCCTTCCCGATCTGTTGTCTCTCTTTCCATTTGTGCGTCTTATCCTGCCGTTTTGTATCTGTCGCTAGCTGTTGTCTACTTTTCGGGGCGCACACACACACACACCCGCACACACACCCACACGAATACGCTCACATGCAGGCCGTTGAACAGTTTATCTAGATGCCGCTTGCTTCCTTCCACTTTCAGTCAACCAACTAATGACAAAAAGCAAGACAAAAGTGCGCTGGGTATATGTAAGTGTGTGTGTGTGTGTGTGTGTGTTAGTGGCTTAGAGGGTTAGGCGAAGGGGAGTTAACCCCGTCCGTCTGTCTGCCACGGCGTGCCATATAAAATTTTATGTCTGTGGTGTTTATGGTGGCGTAGACAGTCAGCAACAACACGAGCTACACGAAATTCCATCCATTCTGCTGGCATTGGCCATGCAATTTAGTTTCATATGCCTGTAGAGCGGAGATGCTCTTCTGATATTGAATTATGATCTGGCTGCTGGCACTTTAAATGGCATCGAACGGCAACACATAGCCGCCTGTTATTGCAGTCCATTCATACATAACTAAGTAATGGCAGCTTAAAGCTAGCTATGAACAGCACATGTTCAGTTCTAAGTAAATATTGAGTCACAACAATAATACTGGCCTTAAAGCAAAACAACACATCATGCCACAAACACGCTTGATTGATATGTTTTCAAAATGAATTATCTCTCTATGGCCTTATCTCTCATCATAAATTTGATATATACCAAAAAAAAAAGTAATTAGGACAATCATAAAACAATATATAAGTTTTCAATTCCCTTAAAACATTTATTTTATTCTATAAAGTAGCACACTTCTCTGATCATGATGCCACAAGCTTTATTTATAATTTACATATTATCTGTTTCAATTTATACATTACAAAAAAAAATGTACAAAAACAAGCAGTCACATGTTGGCCCATCCGATAGGAAGGGAGGCAGCTGGCGTAACGACTAACATAATTTGTTAAAAAGTTTTTGTCATATTAATGGAAAAGTAGCTGAAAATGAATTTTTTTTTCTGGTGAATCATGGGAATTAGTTGGGATTAGAGCTGTCGAGACTTTCAGAGAGTTGGCGGCCAGACAAGTGGCCATTCGACAGTGGGATTTGTGCGCCAATCGATTTTTTGATAAATTATTTATTACAGATTATTTTTGGGTAGGGCCGCAACTGGAACTACTGTAAATGCTATAAGCGCATAATTAAAGCTGAGCAACAGCTTTAAGTGGCTGTGATTAATGAATCGCCAACAGATGGTGGGCAAATTGAGAAATTTCAGCTCAAATCGATAACAAACTCGATTAAAGGCCCATGTGATGTGCATGATGTTTTCTGGAAGCAAAACAACATTTGTAACTTGTGCATAATCCCAGAATAAATAGCTTCACATAGTTTCCCATATTTTATACAAACACAATTGGCATAGCCTAGCAAATACCTTTTCTGGAAACGCTGCCACGTAGTTTGTTTAGTTTTGCCCTTTGTGCACAATTAGCATAATCCTCTCTGCCACAAATTAACGTGTTTTGTGGACAAGCCCAAATTATTAGACGGCCATCAAAATGAATTTAGCCCCTCAAACTCAAACCAAATACAGAGTCAACACACAAACTTTGTTGCCCATTAGAGCAAGATTTGGATTTTGCTTAAAAACAATTCGCCAGCAAAGTGTTTACGCAAGCAAATGCCAAACATTCATTTAATTGCCCCAGCGATTGTATTTGGGTCTGGGTCGGTAGGTGTCTCTTGGGCCCTCGGCTGGGGGTTCCGATGCCATAAAGGTAAATCACAAGAAATATGAGGGTATTTACACTTTTGGGTCGCTGCCTCAGCCACATGCTTAATTAAAGCGCTTGGCGTCTTAAGAGTTTCTCGTAAATTACGCGGCATTAAATTCCCAAGGGAGTGCGAGTGAGACAGTAGCCAAAAGAGAGCGAAAGCGAGTTAACTAAAAATGGCTTTTTATGTCGCTGTGCCTTTGCCAGCATGAAAATAAAAATAAAATTCAAATATAAAGTTAAGCCAAAAAACGTACAAGCAGAAAAATAAAATGTTCTGTGCGGGCGTGTGGGTGTGTGTGCGTGTGTATGTGTGTGTGTGTATAGGAGATTGTTGTAAAAAGGGTTAAGCAACAAAAACAACGACACGCACAACAATAAAGCGATTTTGCTTTTTAATGTTGTGGGTGTGCGAGTTGCTTGTGAATTGGCTACGCCCAAAGGAACTATGCTATTCAGATATCCTTTAAAAAAAGGTACTAGATATTTGGCTGGGTATTTCAAGTGGGCATTGACTCCGTGTGGCTGTTTGCATTTTACCATAAGATGCTTAAAGTTTTGGCCTTAGTTTGCTGCATGCGTGGTATTGCTTAGTCGACTACTCTCCATTGCTTCTGCCGCTGACCCAAATTCAAAGAAGGCACGTTGCCTTCAACCTCCAATTTCTTACACCTTTTAAGGCACTAAACAGCGCAGAATACATGCATAAGTAAATGGTGCTCAAATGAGTTTGTAAGTGGAAATGAAATGCGTATTTATTGTATTTAAATTGCCAGCGGTTCGCAGAGGGCGCGCGGCTGTCATTTCAAGCAGCGTTAACGGCAGGGCATGCAGCAAACGGAAATGACAACACAACCATTTGCAAAATGGCGCCTGCACTTCCTGCGTCAACAACAATGGACATTTGCGACTAAAAGCCTGGCACGATGCAGTTAACGGGTTTTCTTTCGCACCCTGCGCAAAGATGCGCCAAACGGAAATGATGTGCCCAAGTCGAACAGTGAAAATCTCTGGTAAATGAAACGGAAAGCCGAGTGAAAGGCTGAAATGAATATGCACATCCACATGCCTGAGCAGGAGCTTGAGTTTCAGCTAAAGCAGTGAGCCTAGCATGAGATTTAGGCATATTTTTGTTAGGACTTGCAGCTGCTGTTGTTGCTGTTTCTGTCATGACGGAAATGAAATTTTTAAATGCAAACAATGCAAACGGTATGACGGAGTGGCAGCAAGACACATGGGGAGAAAAACGGAAAGCCAGATGGAAAATGTTGCTTCTGTTGCTGTTGCTGTTGCAGTAGCTCAGCAACTCAAAGGCAAAGTGTAAACAGTTTGCATTTCAGTAGCTTTAACAACCAACGAGCAGCAACAACAAGAAGCAAACAAACAACCTTGAACAGCAGACACTCAAACAAACTGTCGGACATTTGCACAGGCGAAAAAAAAGCCAACAGGGCGTATGAGTACTGTCCTTGCTGTTGCTTGTGTTGATTCTGATGCTGCTCTGTTTCTGTTGCTGCTGTTGCTGCTGTTGCTGCTACTGTTGCTATAACATTGAAAACTGTTTTTTAAAAGCCAACAAGCGAGGCAAAAATAACAACAAAAACAAAAATATGACACGCCATGTCCGTTCATTCTCAGTATCCGCTTCCTAGCATCGCAAGTTGTCCCGTTGCCTTTGCCCACTGCTGTTGCCCGTTGCCAGCAGCTTTTGTTGCCACTGATGTTGCACATACCTCCCCTCCCCCATCCCATGCAAAAGTCGGCACATAGCTTGCCAGTGGTCGCCGTTGCCGCTGCCGCTGCTGCTGCCGCAAGTGCAACATGCTTATAATAACCCCCGCAAACGACAAATTGCCATTCATATTCGTGCGATATGCTCGCATGGGGTTTTCCACATATCGGACAGTAACTTTTTTGCGGCACTTTCCCGCACTCGGCAAATATATTTTTAGTTTGCTAAGCGGAAGCGGAAAGCAAAATCAGTTTCAGCTGCATACACCCACCCACACCCACACTCACTCACACACACACAGCTAGCTCGAGGGGTATGAATAATTTAAAGCATACTTTCTGACATACGTATTTTATGTGCATATGGTAGTTAGTTATTAGGTTAGTTCTGCACGAGACTGAAAAAGGAGTTAAGTGCTGTTGAAGGGATCGCAATTAGCTAATCGTGCACAATTCTCTCCGCCAGGTGACCCAAGAGGAAACACAATACATTCGCACGGTTGATAACTTAATAGCATCCAGGCTGAGCCTCAAACTGCAATTGCAAGCGGTGCACTTTGTGACCGCCGGCAATACCAATGGAAATGTCAACGGCAACGCCCATGGCCGATCTACCAATGTGTACATGACAAATGCTGTGGGCCACGGCGGTGGCATAGGCGCTGTTGGAGGACTCATGTTGCGCTGCACGGCTCAAATTGGTGATTTATATCAGGAGTACAAGGAAATTGAATTGGGCTCACCGCAAAAGGATCCGGTGCCAGCCAGAGGTAAGCCACAACCACAACAAACACTATCCGAAACACCTTCCAAATTTGTTTTGTAAACGCATTAAATTGCCCATTGCAGTTACACTCTCATCCGGCTCGGGTCTGCGGAATTTCTTGGAAACCTATTTCTACACATCGGCATCTGGCAAGGGGCAGAGCGTGGGCAGCTTTTTCATTTGCAGCCTAATCTCCATGTTCGGGATGATAACAAGCGGCAGCTAAATGCAAAATTGATTACATTTTAGCTACAATTACATAGAGTACAGCTTGAACATGAAATGTGTATAGCATAGATAATGGCCTCGATGTGTAGCCAATCGTATTAAGCTTAGCATCGCCCCCGACACCTACTCACTGTCGCACAACTGCAAAAATATCCCATTTCAAAATACTATATAAATTACACATTACTACGTATATGTTGTACACACTCAAATTAAATATTACAATTTTGTATATATTTGTTTTATGATGTAAGCCATTGCACGAACATTAGATGGAATGCACCGCCGCATACACCCACGCAGACAGACGGTCGGACTGAGAGGCATATATTCAAGCAAACATGGCTAATTGTTAATTAATGGATTATTTAATGATGCATTAAATATTGCATAAATTATTATTTCAGTTGCATTTAACTCCATTACAAACAGCTGCAATAGCACTCCGAATATCAACTTTAAATATAAGTGAGCAAAAAAAAAACTATAAAAACAAAAACAGGCAATTTAAAAATTGTAAAAATAAGAAAATGCATTTAAAATAAAACAGCATAGATATTCCAATACGCATACTACTCAGTTAATTAATTGAATTTATGGGTATTGCAGATTCAGGTAAGTATATGTGATTGCATTTAGCGAACTTTGCCATTATATTGTAGCCAAACATTTATTAATAATTGTTTGCTAATAAGCGTACGATGTCATTCCCTAAAAACAGTAGAATTTAAATACTTTTGCTTTTTTTTATTGAAAACTTAAAATATACATATCTATATTATGGTTAAAATAGTTCTAAAAAGTCTACAGTTATTGTTTGGCTCTTGCTTTTAATCTATATTTCTTCTCAACTTACTGAATTCTTTTTAATAAAAGCTGTGTTTTATTTTTTACTTACCGGTTGACCTATTTAATTCTTGCTTGCCCCTCGTGAGCTCTTACTCTTGTGCAAACTATAACAAACAAGGGTTAAAGGTTATAATAATCGGCTTACTTTGTTTATTATGTGAACTATACAGTCTTAAGAATATGTCGGAGTTTAACTGCAGATGAAATTGTGTTAAGTATTTCAAGGAAGTCACATTTCTTAATAATTTTCAACTCAATCTGTCAATTTTACTTTGTTCATGAATATTGTGTAATTATAATGAGGACATTTATTTCTTTGCAATTATTCTTGGCAATAGACTCATCATTTTGCGGTATATCAGCCACAGTTGCTTTTTGAGTGTACAGATATTCGATTTAATGCTGTCGCATAAATCATTTTTTTCGTTTCAATTGCTTAAGCATATTTCAAATTGCGATATATATTTGCTTAAGGGCGTGGCCAATGGCAGCGCAAAGAAGAAAACGAACGGAACTGGCCTCGGGGCTCGGGTGAAATGGCGAAAGCAGCCCGTTAACACACAGGCAGCAAATGCATTTGCCATTTGCCAGGGCAGCAACTTGGCCACGGGCCAGTTGAAAGTAATGAAAAAACTGCGTTTGCCAAAAAGCAAATAACCAATACACACAACTATGTAGCCAAGGCGAAAAACTGACTTTTGCCCACTTATGCAAGCAGCCGAGCGCGCGGCAAATAAAAACCAAACACCGAGGCAGCTTCAAGGCGGCACCGCAAAACGGAAACGGAAATCGGAAGCTGCAACTGTGCAGCGCAATCGTCCAAAGCAGCCCAGCAACAAAAATAGGCGGCACCCGGACACAAGGACAACAGCAGGCGAACCGGGGACGGCGATAAAAGTGTTGCAATTTATGGGCAGGCTGGCCGGCGCCCAGGCTCCTTTCCCAGCACCTACAGAACAGTGCGCAGGCAACTAAAGTTTCTGGCTAATTGATTTTGTGATTTTATCTTTTAATGACTTTTTCGCAAAGTGCAGTGCTGAAATGCCGCTGCCTCGTACATACACACAGATATATGGTTCACATGTACATATATTTGATTTTAATTGCATATTAGTGAAAACGCTCTTGGTTCGATTTATAGAAGGCAAGTCTTTAAATAAACCCAGCTATCAGTAAAAAATACAATTGTATCTCGCATCTTGTCTGAGGAATTTCTGATTTCTCCCAAAAGTATGCTTTGAAAAATTATTTTTTGACCAGCTCACGCGCTTTAAAAAACGCACAGAAACCGCGCGGAAAAACCATGGCGTGTGTCATATCTTTCTTTCAAAATTCGAAATCAAAATATTGTAATACGCTAAAATTATTATTTCATTGCGCTTTTTTAAATACCAGCAACGTTGGAACATTGGCATAAATTTAATTAAATGCGCCAGTGTGATCTAAGCTCTCCGCAGAGATATACGTCCGGGAGTTTTCTTGCGTGATCAATAATTGACGCACCATAACACCTACAAGTACTTAAGGGTGCTCTTACACAGACGCTTGACTTTTAACAAAAATATCAAAAGTGTTTCAGAAACCCTGAAGAGCAGATTAGGCAAAATTAGATGGCTTCTGAACAGTAGCAATGCATTATCTTTAAAAAGCAAAGTAATGCCACAAAATGTATTTATTTGTCAGGATGGTTTTTCATACAATCCATGACATTGATTATTTATGATTACTATTTTTATTTGATATATATACTTTAAATATATACTTTCTTTTAATGAGTTCTTGAGTCCGCGGTTTTATCCATGTCCGCTCTGCTTAACATCACAAAACATACTATCAATAATTTCTTATTACAAGTAATCATCATGTGTCTTATACTTTTACCTCATACTACTCTCCATCTGTCTTTCGACAGTAAGCATCTACAAAACCTGCATAGCTTCTACCTGACGTTATGGAATCAAAGTATAAAGGATTGCTGCAAAATGGGTGTTACAAGCAAACACGTTCCGCAATCTGTCTGGTGTCCCCTGGTTCATGCGAACTTCCGATTTGGAAAAAGACTTAGGAGTGTCCAAAGTCGGGGACGTTATAAATGTACAGGCTGCGAACTATATTACGCGGCTTGAAAATTATCCAAATCATCTGGCTAGGCGCCTACTAAAGAGACATAGAATTGGAGGAACCCGAATGGAGAGGAGATTGCGGAGGTCCAATCCAATCGATCTCTCAGATCGTTTTATATCACTTTGTAAATTTTTATGTTAGACTTAAGAGTAGAATAAGTAGAAAAGTAAATATTCATATAAGTTTAATTGCAGTTGTTCAAATAATAACAGTAAAATTGAAATAAGTCCAACAAAATGGGGGAAAAAAATACCGTTGACATAAAAGTGTTCACATATACAAATTGAAATCAACAGGTTCTTTATTAAAAGTTAGTTAATTAACTAAGGCCTAGTAGATAACAGATGAAAAAAAAATTGAAAAATACATTAAATTAAACATCAGCTGGAACGCAAAAGCCAAATAAGTACATGAAATGTCGGCAGATATTAAGAAAAAGTTAACAAAGTTAATTGCTTTCACCACAGCATAACATACAGCTTCAGCCGACACTCAGCTAGCCAGGATGTCGAGTGCTGCTCGGCTCTTTAGCTGGGCCACAAAAAATGTCTGCAAGCACATTTGATGACCAATAAAACTCCGGGTAATGTCACGACCATTTGGACCGTTAATTGAATATGGATTCGCCTGTAACTAGGCAAGTTCATTTCACAGCATGGAACTTTCGTGTCTGGGCTTCGAACACAATTGCTTCGTTAGCGTTTAAAACACATTTATTTCTGGTTGCGCACAAAAAATCCAAGAACAATTTATATGGCATGCTATGAATATTTGATGTTATCAAACACTTTAATTTTCACCCTTGTAGCAAAAGCATTTTTTATGTAATTCCATTTGCTGATTTTGGCAGATGAAATTTTCGCACAAAATTTACATATATTGCATATTGTTCGGCACAGCTACGTGCAACCTGCTGACAAATCATCATTAATATCGCGGCTACGTAAGTTTGGCCCAGTGCCTGTGTATATGCGTGTCCGTGTATGCGTGTGTGCGTGGCAACAATAGCACTTCGTTAGTGCAGCAACCGGCAAATAGCAATCAAAATTAAATAAACATATTTATGCATCAAATTTGATTTTGATATTTTATGTTTTCTTTTTTATGGTCCGCACTAAATTCAACCAATTCATGGATCATTGCAATTTAATTGTATTTTTCGCATTTAAATTCCACAAAACAATTTTAATGAGCAGCCATCTAGTAAATTTTATGGAAAATGAAATTTTAATAATACAATTGTTTTTCATATCACAAAATTACAAATAAATTTTGCTGCCAAAAAGGCCAGCCAGCTAATTATCTAACCAAATTTAATTTTCTTTTTTATTACGATACTTAACAATCGCCACAACAAAACAATTGCATAGAGTAGCTACACTTTGTCATAATTTATATATATGTATATATATATTTTTAAATGTAGATATATGGTACTTCACAGTGAGTTTGCGCTATTCGGAAATGAAAGACTCTAATAATGTTGAGTATTAAACCCAATTTGCGCTTTCATATGATTTCGCTTGCATATATGTTTGCTTTTGTAATTTGCATTTAATTTTGTTTTATGCAAATTTCCCATAATAACAAATATTGCAATAAATTTACAGCTGCAATTTTGTCGTTTCATTAAAACGCAATAAAAACAAATTAAATGATTGGCGCGAAGCAAATAAAAAAAATAATTGTACAGTGTGGAGACATGGCTAAAGAGGGTACCACCACCTCAATTGCTCTTTAAACGACTGATTCGCACCCATCAGCGACCTGCCAGAGCTGCCTGTGCACGGGAAGCCGAGGGTCCGACAACAGGGTGTAATCAGGAGTGAAACAAACAGGCCAGCCAAACAGAGCTCGTCATGATGGCAAAGGCAGATGGCATGTGATGTTTCAAAGAGCGATACAAACGAAGAGCACAAAAAAAATACGTGAAAAGACATTTTGATTACGAGATACCTCGTAAGCACACGTATAGTGTTCACAAAATAGATCTACTCTATACAAAATGACATACATCAGTGCGATCAATAAACAACTAAGAGTATAACCGCGTGAATATAATACAATGAGAATATATATATATATAAATATATACACATAATAAGAGTAAAATTAAATCACCTTCAATGTATTCATAGGGATTATCATCCAAACTAAAAACTAGACTTAAGATTTTAAATCAGAATCGAAGTCTCTTGGAGAGTTATTATTTCCGATTTGGCTTTAATGTTCAATTATAAAGTTGCATGCAGCCAAAGA